ATGGCTTTCCGAGATTAGGTTATCCCTTCCTTCCTTCCTTCCTTCCTTCCTTCCTTCCTTCCTTCCTTCCTTCCTTCCTTTCTTCCCCCTCACCCTGTCTCCCCTACATTCCAGTACCCCCATTCCCTAACCTTTCCTTCCTTCCTTCCTTTTTTCCTTCCTTCCTTCCTCCCTCTCAGGAACTTTGTGTAGGTTCCTGGCATCCACTTGGATGGCATGGAAGTAGGTAGCAGCTGGGCTAATCTGTGTGACACCATGCTTTAAAGGAAAAGGACCGGCTTGAAAGGGGGGGTGGGTGGGGAAGAAACAACCACCACAACAACTATCAAGCTCCCCGCTTATTCCAAGCAACAAGCAACATCTGGAAGAAGAAGCGGGATACAATTGCAGATGAGGGAACGATGGGTAAGTGAACTTTTTTTGTAAGGCTGCAGCTGCGCCCAGGGCTGAGGGTTCTATGTGTGTGTGTGTGTGTGTGTGTGTGTGTGTGTACACATCTCTTGCCTGCACATTTGCTGGAGAAGAAAACCCATCAAAATAACTGCGTTCCTTTTGCTTAGGTGACTCACGCAAGCTACTTTTATATAGATTCTGCCTTCTGCCTCATCCCATCCTTTACTCTCCCCTCTGGTGCTTTGGGAAATCTTTAATCCCCAGATGAACACCCTTACTCCATTATTAGTGGCAGATATACAGACCAAAACAGTTTGATTCTTCTTCCTCTCTCTTTATTTACTCCCCCCAACCCCCACCCTGTTCTGCCATTTCTTCCAGTCCCCTGGTGCCCTTCTATTCAATCTATGCTTCCTCCCCATTTAGGATTTGCTCAGATTTGTGTCTTAAGAATTTTTTTAAGGTAATGATAAATCCAGATCCTCAACCCTCTGTTGAAGAAGGGGGGGGGGCATTTGCTGATGAACCTGCTCCCGAGAACTAAGTTGATATCCTTCATATACATGCATGCACCATCCTCCAAAATAAACGCTTAAATCTCCAACACCTATTTTAGAGATTCTCTTTCCCTCCTTCCAGAAACCTCCTCCAAATGTGCCAGAATTATATTTTTCCCCTCCATGTGTAGGTTGGAATATGTTTCTGCTGTTGCTCCTCCTGGCATCAGGCAATGAGAAAAGATCAGAATTTAAATGAAGGAAGGAAAGGAAGAATCTTGCCATTGAAATGAACGTGTCAGAGACAAACAGTCAAAAGCTCTTTGGATTAACAGTTTGCCCTCCACTCAAATAAACACTGAATAAAACAACGGCTTATTTGGCTATTTTTTCACCTTCTTTCCCCCAACCTAGTAATATTATTTACTATTAAGAAAACAATACTTTTCCAGAATTCCTGATTGAAGGGTACAAAACAAATGACCAGAAAGGCTACAACTCTGCAAAGCTATACTTTTGAAGCTTATCTCAAGAATAGAACAAGGTCCAATTTCTCCCCTTATTTTTTAGAACCCTAAGTCTCTATGTAGCTTAGTTCTCCCAAGACTCATGTAGTTATTCAGCGAACATGGAAAGGGTGAGCAGCTCAGAAGGATGACTATAAAATAAGTTTTCTGCTACATATGTTAAATGTAGACTATCAGAACTAAAACTGGAAAAAGAGAAGGGAAATTCACTTTTGTTTTGCTTTATCTGGGATGGAGTTCAATTCATGTTTATTATTAATTTAAAGTGATAACATTCTCCCACCTTTTACCCAAAATAAATATTGGCTGTGCATGGCTGTAATTATAGGAGAAATGTGGTTGCTAAAACAATAAAAACGTGCTACTGTATATTAAAATACATGAATAAGTAATATAATTATGTTAGCTGTTATGTGTCAAGATATGAAAGTATGTCTGATGACCACATGCATTTTATTATGATATCCAGAAGTTCCTTGTTGTTGCTATTTATCATCCTTAGATTTTTTCATACATAAGATTTGACACATAAGACATTCATACCTGTCTGCTTGGATTATGCTTAGCTCACATGAAATAGATTATCTTACCGTCTGCTTTTTCTCCCCTCTCTCCAATTTTTCTAACTTCTATTTGTCACGCTACATTAACACATATTTTTAAGGTCATCTGTGCATCTCTTGAAGGGCCCAGGAGATGTCTACTTTTGAGCTAGTTTATGAAGAAATCTTTTACTGATTTAAGAATATTTAACAATTCAAGCTTGGGTGAATTCTCTTCCCAAAACCTACTTCACAGTGACTTGACAAATATGCTTAGTATAAAATCTACAACATCCTAATGATAAGGGTATTTGGGCTATGTGCATCATAGCATGTTGCTATGAGTTAAAAATGGGAAGGGGAACTTAATTTGTCAACAAAGGTCATAAATCACCCAGAGGTAAATGAATAAATATAGTCTGGTTGCATATGTTGGCTAGTTAGGGAAAAGGAAACATTGGGAAAATAGAGTCAGTATAGCAAACATCTCTATGTAAAACACTAATCTCTCTCTCCCTCCCTCCCTCCCTCCCTCCCTCCCTCCCTCCCTCTCTCTCTCTCTCTCCCTCTCTCCCTCTCTCCCTTTCTCCTCCCTCTCTCTCTCACACACACACATACAGAGGGGGTGTTGAACTGCATGGAAGCAAGGCATTGTGTTTTGAATTCAACTCTTTTATTTGTTATTTGAAATCCTGATGGTGAATACTGTGATTCTGATTTGAGTGGCCTCACGATGTATGTTTGTTATCTTCATATTGTAGGTTTCCATGTAATTAAGCATCTGAGAGGCATGAGTGCAGTGTTTGTTCTCCTTCCTACTGTGCTGTTTGTGACGTTGAGTGGGGCTCAGCGAGCTTGCCCCAAGAACTGCAGATGTGATGGCAAAATTGTGTACTGTGAATCCCATGCATTCAGAGACATTCCTCAGAACATTTCTGCAGGATCTCAAGGCTTATCGTTACGCTACAACAGCATCCAGAAGCTCAAGCCAAATCAGTTTGCAGGCCTACACCAACTCATATGGCTTTACCTTGATCATAACTACATCGCTTCAGTGGATGAGGATGCCTTCCAAGGCATCCGAAGGCTGAAGGAATTAATTCTAAGCTCCAACAAAATTACGCACCTTCACAATAAAACATTTCACCCAGTCCCCAACCTACGCAATCTAGACCTGTCTTACAATAAGCTACAAGTGCTTCAGTCAGAGCAGTTTAAAGGTCTTCGCAAGCTCCTGATCTTGCACTTACGATCCAACTCATTGAAAACGGTTCCTATTCGGGTTTTCCAAGATTGTCGCAACCTTGATTTTCTGGATTTAGGCTACAATCGTCTGCGGAGTTTATCTCGCAATGCCTTTGCTGGCCTTTTGAAGCTCACAGAGCTCCACTTGGAACACAACCAATTTTCTAAGATCAACTTCGCTCACTTTCCTCGTCTCTTTAATCTCCGCTCCATTTACTTGCAGTGGAATAGGATCCGATCCTTAAGCCAAGGGTTGACCTGGACTTGGAGTTCTTTGCACAATTTGGATTTATCGGGAAATGACATTGCAGGGATTGAACCTGGGACATTTCAGTGCCTGCCAAACTTGCAGAAGCTCAACTTGGATTCCAACAAGCTTACTAACATCTCTCAGGAGACTGTCAATGCCTGGATTTCTTTGATATCTATTACTCTTTCTGGAAATATGTGGGAATGTACCCGGAGCATTTGCCCTCTGTTTAACTGGCTTAAAAACTTCAAGGGAAACAAAGAAAGTACCATGATTTGTGCAGGCCCTAAGCATATTCAGGGTGAAAAAGTGAGCGATGCTGTAGAAACCTACAACATTTGTGCAGAAATCCCAGTGGTGGTCACTGAAAAACCTTACCAGGTCCCTAAAACCCAGCAGAGACCCATCTTTATTCCAAAACCCACCGTTCCCAAAGTGGAAGACTATGAGCCAACATCATTTACACCAAGCCCTTCTCCAGATTTCCCAACATCTGGACCAGAACCAGAATATGAGCATGTTTCCTTTCACAAAATAATTGCTGGAAGTGTTGCCCTTTTTCTTTCCGTGGCTATGATTCTGTTGGTCATTTATGTTTCGTGGAAACGCTACCCAGCCAGCATGAAACAGCTCCAGCAACACTCCCTCATGAAAAGGCGTAGGAAAAAAGCCCGAGAATCTGAGAGGCAAATGAACTCCCCTTTACAGGAGTATTATGTGGACTACAAGCCAACAAACTCTGAGACCATGGATGTATCGGTTAATGGATCTGGACCCTGCACCTATACCATTTCTGGCTCCAGGGAATGTGAGGTATGAACCATGATCCTCCTAAATCCATTTCTGCTGCTGGGAAGGAGAGGTAAATGTTTGACACTCTTGAGGTGACTCTAATCCCTAGAAAGATCAATGAGTCTTCTTGCTTTGGGGTTCCTTTGGGGTGAAAGGTTATTAATGAAATTGCAACAGTCAGGGAAGTCATGGTGTCTAATTTTCAAGAATTCAGACTTGAAAGGTATTAGTTTAAGAATAAAAATGAGTTTGGGATGAACAGCATCAGGAAAGTCCCCTGGGTATAGCTTTAGCTATTTGATGCTGGTTAAAAGTTAGGGTTACTTCTATCATTATTTTATATTTTGAGATAACAACAACAAAGGGGAGGCTGTGTTATACCGTAAAAAATTGGCTTTCTGGCAGAAACGTTAACTTTTTTCTCTTGTTCTAGTTCAAATGAAAATCTAAATAGCTTACTATGCAGACTCTCCCCTTCCCCTGAATTTTGGTCCTGATCCCTCATGCATGTTAAGAATATCTCATTACATGTCACTTCCTGGACATGTAAGGAAGGTGGATAATCAATGTACTCATTCTTTCTAGATGAATAAAGTAGGGTTTAAATATGGCCTTTTGTGGTTGGTTAATGCTGAAATCAAAGAATTCTTTTAAAATGTATTTGCTGGGGAAAGGCAGGTTCTCCACTACCATTTCATTTGAGGATAATTATTTTATATGAGTTGGAAGGTTGGGTTCAGCTATGAATAGGCTATGTAGAGAGGATGTGAGGATATGTTGCTGTTCTCCCAAGGATGGGAGAAAGAGCATCTGAGGACCCACTGCTTCACAGAAGGCTGCTGCAAACAGGATGGGAGGAGAGAAGACGAATAATGTGTACTCTACTTATGGTTCTTGGCAGCATGGGGACAGGGTGGGAGGTGTTATTTGACTCGAGCGGCTGTAGGATTTACAATCCTTCTAATTGTCTTTCCTGAAAATCCAACCTGCTTCTGACCAGAATATGGATTATACTATGAAGCCTGTGCCCAAAATTTGCCAAGATAGATTGCTCTTACGCTTTGATATCTTGTTACATTAAAAGGCACTTCAATTTAAAGACAGTGCAAATGAATGCACCTTCCAAATAAGCCGGACACTCTCCATTGAACTGCTGAATCAAATCCAATGCCTTTCATCAATTCAGCCATTCAAATGTATACTTTCTGATGCTTTTCTGAATTGATTGGAGAATCCAATCAACTTTATATTCCAAATCAATTAGAAGTGTCAGATAAGATCAGATCGATTATTTGAATCAGAACGTATAATTTAAATGAGAATTACCGATACCTAGGAGAAAACCTGCTTTGAGCATATTACAATGGTGATTCCTTTGCTTTCCCATACTACTGGATTTAATTTCTAGGGGTATTTCAATAGAATGACAATTGTAATTGCATTGAAAGTATTAACTTGCTTCACTGTATTTTTTTTCCATTTTGACTTTAATTAATATATCCATTGTTTTTTTAAATAAATAATGTAGGGGCAGTGGAATTTAATTATTTTTCTACTTGTTGAGAAAGGATATTCCCATCAGTATAATTTAGTTTCTTCAGAAACATATTTACAACTCCTGAAGAGTTCAAAACAAGCTGATAAATCCCTATTAGAGTCTAGTGAATTCAATGGATCATTGGATATGACTTTGCTGGGCTTTGGTTATGCTCAAATCACATCAGTTGCTCTGCTTGAGAAGAAGTTTAAAGTATTCCTATTGACTAAAGAAAAAACATAGACTATCCTAGGGGAAATATAGGAAGTCTGACAGATGTTTCTTTTCTATGGCAATGAGACATATAATTTAACAATCAAATATACATTTATTGTTTTGGGCTATGCTTTCTCAAAAGTAGGTTTCTCTGAATTTGATAGGGTTTGCTTGGTTCTAATTTCTTTAGATTTATAAATCCTGGTTTATCATTTTTTTCATAAACTAAAAATGGCATAAGTACGCTAGTGTGTTGTTTTCATTTGTCATACATCCAAGCAAAGACTAGGAAACCTAATGTAGGGATAATTTCCATTTTCTAATAGAACATCAATAGCTATTATATGAGAAAAGAATTCTGATTTTTTTATGATGAACGTCTGGAGCAGTATGAAGTTATTCCCCCATTCTATGTTCAACCCCTAAAGGATGAAGTTACAAGGGTGTAGTTATTTCTATTAATGTCACACTCAAGGAAATAGTAATATAATCCGAAAATCTCACTACCTGATTTTGATGCCCTTCAAAAACAATCTGTAAACCCATTTCCAGCTAAATGTATTTATTTATGAATTGTGGAAGCTACTTCTATCCAACTGAACTCTAGAGATAATTTTCAGTATATTGAATAAATTGCAATATTAGTAATACAATATAGAAACTAATATATCTGTAAATAAAATTAAGTCTTACATTAGTGAGTCATTACCAAAAAGTCTTCGGGGTTGGGGGGGGGGGTTATTTACAAGTTCCTTGATGGTTATAATAATAAGAGCCATCTTATTTTTTATTTTTTATGTATGTATGTATTTATAGAAGCAAATGGTCTTTGCAGATTATATTTGAGTCCATGGAAAGCTATCTTCCATACAAATATATAGTTTTGAATTGAGGACCAGTAAAGACATTATTTTAAATAAATTAAAGCAATAAACTTTATTTTTCCTCTTAAAAGTGGCCATATTCCTACCTACCATTTCCTAATCTAGCCAATGAAAAAGAGCTAGTTTTATTAAAGTCTTGCTAATAGAGTTCTAGTAGGACTAGGAATTTCCAAGAGAAACTCGGTGAGGATTCTGTACTTCCAAAATGATGGTTTTTAGTTAGTGTGACTATCTTAGAACCATCAAAACATGGATTTGAAGATTTGGATAAATAGATTGTATGAACAGGACCATTAAATTGCTGTATTCTCATAGGATACCAAATAAATTGTGGGAACATCCAAGGTGAAATTAACTGACCCAGTCAATATAAACATTTAAAAACATCTAACATCTAAAAATATCTGTAATTCAAATATTCCCAATTAAAGGAAGAAGGAGGTGAAAGTAATAAAAATAGGGATTAGTTTTTGTAGTATCATCACAGCAAAGAGAAAATAAAATGTAGGAAAGAAACAAATGATTTCTCACAATTCCAAAGAAATTTGGAGCTCTGTAGAGAAAAAGGTGTACACAGATACAATCCACTTGATTAAGGCAAAGCTAATTTACAACTGAAAAAATCTCTATCACAACCAATAATGAAATGTTTCTATTGTTTCAATTCAGAGACTTGGTCAATAATTTGCTCATGAACATTGGCCTTCTAAAGCCTTAAATCTTGTCCACATGGAGTTCATTAGCATTGTGTTGCAAAGGAGTGGCAAAAGAAATGTGTAAGAGATTCTGCTTAATAACCATGTTGAAGTCACTGAAGAAGACTAGTGACATTAACTTCTCACTGAATCAGTTCTTTAAAACAAACCATATTGTTGCTATCCCAAGCAGACTGAAGTTAGATTACATTTGCTTGCTTGATTGCTTATTGTTAGCAGGAATGGCCTTCCAAAGAGTGAATTATTAACACCTTTCAACAGAGGGATACTACCCTGTTTCCCAAAAATAAGGCCTCCCTGGATAATAAGCCCAATCGGGCTTTTGAGCACATGCACTAAAATAAGCCCTCCCCTGAAAATAAGCCCTCCCCAAAATATTGCAACACAGCAGCAGCCACGAGGTGACCACGCTCATCACCTCCTGCACCTCAAAAATAATAAGACCTCCACAAAAATAAGGCCAAGCGCTTTTTTCGAGGGGTGGGGAAGAAAATAAGACCCTGTCTTATTTTTGGGAAAACACGGTAGGATGGTAGTTTCTGGCTTCTGGACTTCCCCAAATTCTTTCTCCATGTTCTAAAAATATATATTAGGTACAGGTAGTCCTTGACATACAACAGTTCAGTTAGTGACCATGCAAAGTTACAACAGCACTGAAAAAGTGACTTGTCACTGTCTTCACAGTTAAGAACTTTGTGGTCATTAGTTGAGGAATACCTGTATAAGCCATCTTTTGATAGTCAGACTCCATTTAACATTTGGGATCCCGCTGGATGGGATAGTTATTCCAATTGAATGAAGGTATTTCTTCCATGTTCATAAATGGGTCAGAATATTTCTTGCTTGGGCATCTTAGAACTGATTGGTTGGTTTTTTTTTTTTTAAAGCTTCACTTTAACTACGTTATGTCTATTTCACAGGTTACATTGAAATTTTAATGAATCATGTAAAACAATGCCATTGACTTACTAGGTTTTAAAACAGTAGCTTTATCTTTACTCACAGGAGTCCATAAATTAAGAAAAACCATTATTATTAAAATGTTTTGATACGTTGCCAACAGCAGTGATGAAAAAGCATTTCCAGAAAATACCCTCTTTATAGATCAAGTGGAATCTTTAGCCCACATATTGCTGTAACACTTTTGTTACAATGCAAGTAGGTCTGTTTTTACTTTTTCTCACTAGCTGAACTCCCAGGGTACACTGGCAAATTTAATTTGTTTATCTGTTAGCAAACAGATATTTACAAATTTGCTAAGTTCCATGCTCCAGTTTGTATTTCTCAAAAGTTCAATGCTGAATCAATTTCTGGGTTCACATGATTCATATTCCTCTACTTTGAATTCAAGTTTAATTGTCATTATTTCTGATATATTTCCCTTTAAAAAAAAGCACATAGGAGTTTTGGTAGTTGTAGTCCTATGACTTTAATAATGAAATGAAATGTCACTGATTTTGATTTCCAAGGATTATAGAAAAGTTACATTTGACTCTTGGAATTTGATTCCCTTGAATGGGTACCACAAAGAAATGAGTGGAATCAGATGTAACTTCATTTTAACAATAAATCAGGAAATCAGGAATCTAGTCTGTAACTTATTTTACTAATTATCACATTTAAAAATTACAATTAATGGCAATTTTTGGAAGATGGTGACATCTAAAT